AAAAATGTACAGCATAAGTGAAAAACCATGTTAGTGGGAAATACACGTTTTACATGATAAAGTAAATTTCTGCTGGCAAGGTAATATAAAGGTCTTCTCCTATGATGGGAAAAGGGTGCACAACCTTAAAGCTACAATTAGTATTTGTTTCTACAAAAAATGGGGGAGATGCCATGAAGCCAGCCACTGGAGGTTGCATCACTCACATACATGAATCAGAGATACTCTTACTTGCCTACATTTATGCTTCTTTTGGATATGATCATTTTCACAGACTTGCAGGGTGTATGGGGACCTCAAAAGTTACGTAGTGTGTCTTTATTATCTCTAGTCACTCTCCCCACGCAGAGGACTGCTGTGCTCCATTTCCTCGTTGTCAGTGAATGGAGAGGAACCAGGTCCAAGAACATTGCTCAGGACCACCAGGCAGGAAGTTCTGACTGTTATTCAACCCAAATCCCACTGTTTTCAGGGAAAAATGTAGAAGAATAAATCACCATCCTATTTCCCACAAGACTTGATAAACTGAAGTCCCTTTTTTGCTTCAGTTGGAGATCAGTGTAGGTGTCTGGTATCAGTGCACCTTCATCTGACCATAAGTTCTCAGAAAGCCAAAAGCCAGGGGAGGTTATGCAAAGCAGCTTTTTATCTACTGCTGGAGCTTTTATTTGTAATCAAAAGTCAGATTTTCTTATATTGTGATTTCTCCTACTGTGAATTTCTCCACCCACCTACCCCTTGCCCCAGAAAAGAACAGAACAAAAAAGTCCTTAGTATTTACAACATGAAAGAAATTGTGGGCATGTGCTCCAAAGAACACAGTCCTTTTTCTTGGTCGCACTTGTCATGACTGTACATTCAGGTCATTTAAAAATAAATGTCTGCCTGTCATCCTCATTGAACTGTAAGCTTCATGAGGGCAGACCCTAAGCGTGTCTGGTTCATCAGCGTATTTTCAGTACCTCGTGTAACATTTGGCATGCAACAGGCTCTTTAATACCTAGAGAACCAACAAATGCATTTGAAAATCATTCTAGTCCAATACTCTTATTTTGGGGCTATGAAATAGAGTCTATAAAAGTCATTCTTGGAAATGACTTGCCCAAGATTGTATAACGTGTTAATGACAAAGCCAGGATTATAACTGGATTCTTTATTGCCCATCCACATTCTCTGTCCATTACGATACAGAGGTTCTTATATCTAATATCCTGGGCAAACAACACTACTAATGAGTAGGGTTCAGAAATATGTCTGATCTAAACATCTTTTGGTTGGCTGCCTGGCTTCCAGTGTTCTCTACCAATTGGAACACAGAGACCCTCCTATAAATATGCCTGGTTTATACATACTTGTAGGACTCCAAGAACAAAACCCAAACAAGATTCTATAGCCATAGCAAACAGCCAATTTATTCTCTCCTATGAGTGTCAAGTTTTACAGAGGCTAAGCCACAGATGCCAGCTGAATTTCTATGGTTTGGCTACTACTAACTCAAATGTTATGCTAAGCAGAGCTTCACTTCGTATGGTTTTTTTACATTTTATTTTAGGGTTTCTTTAAAGCAGAGATTCAAAAAATAGAGCTTCCCCTGAGCACATGAAATAAGTAAATGTAAATGTTCAGGGAGCAACGAAGGTGATTTAAAATTAGATTATGGCAATGGCTGCCCAACTCCATAAATTTAAAATTAAAAAATTTTTTTAAATTCAGACACTTAAAATGGGTAAATATAAATTATACTTTAATAAAGCTGTTAAAAAGTAAGTGTGAAAATGAGTCAGACAGTTGAAGCACTTCTTTTAGAAAATATTTGGTATCAAAACGGTAAAGACATAACCTCATACTCTTTTAAGAGCAAATTCTATCTACTTCCATCATGGTTTACCTACAAGGCCAAAAGTTTTTCCTTCAAATTTGGTAAAAATAATTTAGTAGACTAACACAAAAATGTGCAAAGAACCAGTCTCCATTGATGTAGCACTAAGAGATATTGACTCATTTGATTATCTGCATGAATACATCTACAGATATATTTGCTTAATTAAGCATAGTATTCTCATCCAAAACCTGCCATTAACTAGCCATTTCCAGGGCTCAGCTTTTCCACCTGTATCATGTGCCCCCATGGACCAGATTAGAGTTAAGTAGTATACAATACATTAAAAAGAATAATTTTTTTTAAAAAAAAAAGAATAATAACTGCTATCATCTAATGAATAACCACAAAGAAGCCACATTTTAGGTAAATTATCAATCTCTGAGGAAGGTAGTATAAGCCACTTTTTTGCAGGTGAGGAACCTAGAACATGACAAGTTTGACCACAACCCCACGGTTATTGAGTGATAGACCCAAGATTCCAACCCTGTCTAGTTCCAAAACCTATATTCATTCTCTATAGTTCATTAGACTTTGTGCTTTTGATTTTGTCACATGTGGGCATGAATCCTGACCCTGCCTTAACTATGCTAAGTCAGTCACCCTCTCTGAGTCCAGTTTCTCCACCTGTAAATAGAAATTACTAATACTTAACTCTGAAGGTTTTTGAGAAGAGTAAATGAGAGTCCTTCCCCTACAATTATAAACCATCCAAGAATAGTCTTTCCCATCCCTCTCCCACAAAAGTTCCTTCCTTTGTTTAAAAAAAAAAAAAAAGGAAAAAGTATAAATTCTAAGACTTCCTTATAGCCTACCTGGATAGACCTCACTGGGACTGAGTTCTAGCAAGAGCAATTAAAGTGAACACAAACAACACAGCACTAGACCTTTGCTATCAGTCCTTGGCTCTGTGATGGAGACTGTCAACAAGAGTGTCAACTTCAAGGGGTGGGCATCTGTCCACAGGAACTGAGCTGAGGTCACAGACTTGTCTCACTCTGCCCTACAAACAGATGTCTGGGTGACAACTCTTAGTCACTGCAAACCAGGGTTAAAGCCAAACCAGGTGGGAAGCTCTGTATCTCCTTCTAATCCGCTTGGCCAGGCCTTTCATTCCCTAAGACAATACCTGACTGACCATAATTCAAAATAACTAGTTTTCCCCCAGAGTACTATTTTCAACATAATGCTTTTATTTTTATGATGTCTAATTATTCCACAAGCAGAAAAGAGTATATCTATGGTAGTGATTTGTTTAGCAGGAAACCTGTTTGATTTTGCAGTTCAGAATGCACACCTTCAAACGTTTACCTTCAAGTAACCTGGTGAAAACTGATGTAATGTGGAGCTCTAGTGGTGGCAAGAAAGTAAAGCAGCCATTAGTGAGAGCCAAAAAAAAGCCAAGGAAATCACCATTTATCATTTATTTATGTTATTATGGCAAAATTACCACTTATTCTTAAACTAATATGTTAAGAAGAAAAGGGTTCAAAATTATATTCCAAGATAACATAAGGTAAACTCTAACTGTAATGGCTTCCCTCCAGATTACAAATTAGACCTCAATAACTTACATCAAACATCCTGAAGCAGATTTCACCACAAAAAAACAACTCAGTGTTGTGGTTGTCACTTTTCTGCTTTTTACCAAGTTCACTAAGAATCCTATTAATCAAACACTAGGTATTTTTCACATAGCTAACAAGAATACTGTATACAGAAAATTCTGGACTCTAAGTGGTATGATCAGTGAAGTACTGTACCAACTGTCTTGGGAATTTAAATAATCCCTAGAGGCTGATGAGATTGTTGGAAGTTAATTCCTGCACTAGAAAAGTGCCTTCCTTGAATTTCTAACTTCTGAGGTCTTTCCCAACTCAAAACAACCAAGAATGTCCAATATTAACTCTTTGTTTTCTTGTTATCTAATATATATGTCTTCTCAATTGAAAGGGCTTCCTTAAAAAAAAAATACAGCTCCATTATTGTCAACAATGTAGCAGAACATAAATAAAATTTTTATACATACAACCAGGAGTTGACATTTGAAACTTCTAAACATGGTGCCTGGTTTAGCTGTGTCAAGATAAGTTATCATGAGAAAAAATAAAAACCTCAGAATATGAAAAAAATACAGGATCTAGCCTTTCTGCATATAAGTATCTAAGGTATCATGTTCCTGAACATTAAAGAAAATGTAACAGACTCATTTTTCTATAAGTGATGATGGAAAAAATGAAAATGCTCATAAATGCATTAATGACATTTATCTGAAATAAAAATCTCAAGACTCATGGGAGATTTTCATGGCTTCTATCAGTTCAATCCACTAGATGTTTTTCAGTGGACACATTCAGTGACTCCTAAACTGTCAGATCTACAGTTGACTGACTACCAAGCCTCAGAGGTCTGTGAATGTAGATTTAATGATTACACCGGGGTTTTTATTCATTGATGTCTCTCTTCTTCATCCTTCTGTTAATATGCTGTCATTAGTCCAGTTCCCTAGCGCTCATAGAAAAATGAAAAGATATAACGGCTTTTTCTGAGACATCATCAAGAACACAATGTTTGAAATGAGAAGCTCAAGATAAAAAATTAATTTCCTTTTAGCCCTCATCGTTAGCTATAGGGTAGGAGAGAGAACATTTCTGATAGAAAAGAATAAAAGCAGGTGTGGAAGTTAAGGTAATTTACTAACATAACCGTATGTCAAAGGGAACAAATGGAAATCTGTACTAATGCAATATTGGCCACCAGGGAATTCAGAATCTAACATGTTCTGCAGTCCTTCTCACCACAGACATGAAAACTGAATAAAAAGGAAGAATATTTTTCAATCTGTGAGTCCAAGAACTTTGTCCTTGCATGCCATCTTGCCTGTATTTTCCGTGGTGATTATCTCCCCTGCTTTCCCATAACAGGCCTCGGTATGCTGCTTCAAATAATATTTGGGGCTTTATTTGCCATTCTTTTGACTGAGACATGCTGATTTTATTAAAGTCAGTTGGGCCTGCATTCTTTCTTTACTATTATTACAGGTAGACTTGACAGATACCGGACTTCGGTTTTAAAAATGCTCTGCTAGGGAGGAAACCTTGTGAAATAAGTTCCATTTTACCTGCTGGGCAGTTGCACTCTGAAGGTGCTTCTCTTGCAATTCTTATTTTAGCCATTTGTTCATAGGATTTCTGTAGGAAAAGAAGAGGTATTATCATCAGTAGCATGGTAGAGAAATGGATTCTTCAGGAACTCTCTGGCCATATGCTTGATTCACCAGCATTTGAGAGCCTGCATAACTAACATTTACATATGTACTTGGACTTTAGTCAAAAGGTAACAGTACCCAAGCCCTAAAAAAAGAAATGACTACTGACACTGTATCGAGACTGCTGGACTTACACAATATCTTCCTCCATTCCTCAACCACCACTGCCCTCCTCTTTCTCCCTCAGCTCAAGCACATGCAGTCAATGCAAAAACCCAGCTTTAACACGCTCTAGTTTTAGGTAAGCTATGGGCTTTAAAATAGCCACTATCTTATACATGAAGGTCAACTGCTTATCACACTGCACAGCAACCACTGCCAAAGAGCCTCTCTGTTCGAAGAGCAAGTTCCAGAAAACCCCCTCACTCTAGTCTAATGCTGCCCCTGGTTGTGATAAATGTAACCTAGATTCCTTTCAACTCTCAACTGTAATGGCTCTACATGCATTAACACCACTACCATTACATCCTTCATTAAAAAAAATGAAGCTGCATTTTTTTTTCTTTTTAAATACTGAATACGAAAACATTTCATGTGGGAAATAATCAACCTAAAAACCACATATAGGACTATTTCACTTTTAAAAGTGATTACCATTTGTGTATTAATAACACCTATGACACTAACCTTCTTATAACATATGAAGGACATAACCTATGTTATCTCGGGAAGGAATATTTTCCACAAGATTGGAAAAGATTCTTACGTCACTTTAGAAAACTAAAGAGATAAAATGCCACCCTGCCATTCTGGCCACCCTCACCTCTTTCAGTCCTTCCTATTTGTTCAGCATGCAAACATTAAGAGTGAGGGAAGATGATAGAGACACAGAGGGTGATATCAAAGGATGTGCATATACAAATATACGCTACAGGGGCATAGATGGTCGCCTAGCGTATGCACACCCAGCCACACCAAGTATGCATATAGTAAGGGTAGAGGCCGGTCCTGTACACGCGTGCAAGATATTATCCACGTGCAAAATACCCCAGCCTTTCACACCTGAGCCAGAAGTTGCTCCACTTTCTCTTGCACCATTGCTTTGAGCTGATCCAGGCCATCGGGAAGCAGATGGATGGAAGGGTCCCCTTTTGAGGATTCGAGAACAGCGATCCTCGCCTGGAGGTCGTTGGTTTTCACCCCCAGGTACAGACAAGACATCACGGCCACCACCGACAGAAGGGCCGACAGGGCGGTGCAGGGGGGCACGGTCCAGGCACAACGCTGCCTGGCGGGGCTCGGGTCCTCGGAGCCTGGCTCCCGACCCCCACCTTTCCCTGCATGCTTTTTCACCAGCATCGTAGAGGGATCAGCTGCCTCGGCTTCGCCTCCCACTCTCTACCACTTCCAAGAATCTTGAAAGGAAAGAAGAAGGACGATTCCTCCAAAGTTCAGTCTAGGCGGCTGCACAACTAGTTGGCGGAGATCGGGCGCGCAGATGGAGCTCCGCTTTCCTCAGCGCCGACACCAGCAGACGTGGACCATCCTCTCCGCTTTCTTGAAAAGCACCCTCAGTCCGAGGACTGGTGGCAAAAAGGTAAAAACTGGAATGAAACCCTCCCGGCTGGCCCTCCTGGCCCCTCAGAGGACGGACACCTCGGAAGGGGTCCTCGAGAACGGCCGCCCAGGGTCCAAGGGACAGCGCAAGAGGCGCAGCGAGGGGCCGCCGCTTGCCTTCGCCACCGAGCCCCCGACCTGTTGCGTCTCCGTTAGTTTGCCTTATTTCTACCTATTCAGTGCCTTTCCGCAAGCCGACCTGTTTGCCACCTAGATTCAGCTCCAGGCAGAAAGGCTGAGAGAGACCGCGAGAGCGCCTCGCCAAAGGGATGGCTAAGGGGGGGAAACAGGAAAACGAAATAACCTAAGGAGCAAATTCGAGTGGCGAGGCTCAAGTCGCGGCTGCCCGAAGTATCTCCGCAGCCTCGCGTGTGCGAGCCTTAAATACCCTTCGGGATGCTCCTGTGTGAGTGTGTGTGAGTGCGCGCGCGCTCCGAGCGCGACGTTCCTCCCCCGACCCCCTCCCGGCGCCCGGCCTCCCGCCCCGGGCTCCTGCAGCATTGCGCCCCCCTTCCCAAGCCCCGGCAGAAGCCCGCCTCATTAGCATAATGTATTCACCTTCGCCCTGCCCGCGGGCTCAGCCGGAGACCTCCAAGGGGGCGGAGAGCTCGGGAGGGAGCTGAGCGGGAGGTCTTCATTAGCATAATATATGCAAATAGCGGAAGCGGCCGCCGTGATTGGAGGGGAGCCTGGCGACCCCTCCCCCTCCACGGAGTAACTTCAGCGTCCCCTAAGGCCACATCTCCCGCCTGGGCCGGGGGCCGACGCGGGGTCTACTGTGGGGAAGGCGGTAACTCTGGTTTATCCTGACGCGGCCCAGCGCCCCTTCTTTATTCCTGTTAAATATGGAGAAATGGCCTCCGGGAGGGAAGAAGCGAAGCGGAAAGCTCTAGCTCTGTACATCTTCACTCAAAAGCAGCAGCGGGAGCTGTTGCGATCTCGCTCTGGTGCAACCTTTCCCCCTCTCCTCCCTCACTTCCCCACATGTCCCGAGGCGAAGTGTCTGACTGACTCCTGAGGTAAACGTCCCCACTTCCCTTCTCTTCCCAAGGCCGCGCTGTAGAGTCTCCGACTAGGGGAAGTTTTCTCTCCCCTCCCCCAGTTTCCTTCTGTCTTGATGGGGCTGAGTCTCCTCCCCGCTCGGTGTTCTAGTCTGTACTAGGGTGCTAATGCTTTTTCCTGATTCCCCGTTTTGTGGGATTGAAAAAGGGAGCGTGGAGGTACACACATTTCTCAGGATTTAGGAAAGGACTGAAGAATGAGGTCAATTTTTCCTCTTACCTGACTCTCCGCCCTCTGGATCAAATTACAAGTTCTCGAAAGGGATTTTTGAAAGTAGGTAATAAGTAGCATTTTACATCTAATTGATTTGGGGGGGGGGGGGAATTCTCATCTTTTACTCCAAAGAAGTCTCTTCTTATCTCCTCCTCCCCACGGGAAATACCATATATTTTTCTTATCCTTCTTAATCAAGCTAATGTCAGGTCGATGCTCACTAATGTAAGCAAGGAAATACTGCGCCTAGCTCGTCTTTCACAGATGTAAAGAATACTGCTAGGTATGAAGCAGGCTAAAGATGTTTCAGCTTTTGTTGATGGAAATACAGAAACGAAAAAGGAGTAGGGGAGGAAACAGACACAACATTGAAGGAAAACAGTGAATTGTGTTATAAAAGCAAAAGCCAAAATTCCTCACAGTTGTATTACACAGTAGTCTGAAAGGGTGGTCCCAGACTGACAACATCATCACCTGAGAGCTTATGCAAAATTCAAATTCTGGGACCCCTCCCTACACCTACTAAATCAGAAACCACGAGTATTAATGATTCAAAAACAGAGATCTGTGTTATAAGGAGTCCTCCTAATGATTTTGATGCAAACTTAAGCTTGAGAACCACTGGTGTAACACTTTACAAAATTGTTTCAAATAATTTTCTTATTTGAACCTCATAACCCTGTGATACCAGTAAGGAATTATTGGCCCCATTTTATAGATAAGGAAACAATTTTCAAGTCACATTTAATTGTGATTAAACGTGTTTCCAAGTAATAGCACCCAAGGACTAGGTACAAATTTTTTTAATATGTCAACTCTTTCTGATTTTCCAATTACCTCTCTAACCATTCCTTGGTCTCCTTTGTGGTTGTTTTCCTCTGCCTGTTTTCTAAATGTTTGGTGCTCCTTAGATCTTTATCTTGTACCATCTTCTAACTTTGTACACAATCTCCGGTGGTGCTCTCAATTACCATCCATAAACTGATGAGTAATCAATACATATTGTAAGCCCAAACCCCCTTCTCAAGCTCAGACCTTTATAGCCAATTGCCTGTTTGCTAGTTCCATCTGGATATCTCATAAGCAATTCAATTTAACCTGAATCTTACCTCCAACCCCTACTTTTTCCTTTGTTTCCCATCTCACTAAATGGAGTTGCCATCGATGCAGTGTACCCAAGCCAAAATACCACCAATAACCCTTGACTTCTGCCTTGCCCTCCTCTCCTCATCTACCTTAATTCCTTCAATACTTTCTATTGTCCTTAGGATAGAAATAATATACCTTACAAATCACCACCTGGTGCCTGTCATCTCACCTTCCTCACAGCTCATCTTCCCCCTCACACTCTCCATGCCAGCTTCTCTAATGGAAGTACGGAGATAGAGAATGAAGAACTTCCTTTGGGGTAAGTCACTGGTCTTTTGAAATTTCAGTGGAAAGGCTATTTTCTGTGTTGACTGATGTTGACAGTAGGTCACATATTTAATTTGGATGATGCAGTGTCCTTATATCATGCTTTATGGAAACTGGCCATGAGAAGGTCCATTAACAGCTCTTTCAACCTCTCAGAATGGTCAGATCTTAGTAGAGAGATAGAGTTGGAATTTTGTGGATTTGGGATCTTTAATCAGAGGATTAATTTTGCTCTATTTCTTTGGTGGGCACAATATAATAAAGTACAATAAAGAAATGTACTTTAGCACTAATATTTCAAAACCCAGTAGATTTTCTGCATCAAGCCCAGAGAAGGCATGGATCAAGAAAGCTCTGGGGATCTAAACCCATATTATTCTATAGATTCATCAGAGCCCAGTTGTTGTTTTGGTTCCTATGTGGGAAAGGATTCAAAAAGTAAAAATAGCACTAAAAATGATACAGTCCAGCTGACTCTGATTTGCCTGAGACTCATATCAGTAGTAAGAAAAGGCAAGCAGCTGGTTGCAGAATAGGTATGTGATTGGAAGAATAAAGATGTCCACATCCTATCCCCCAAAACCTGTAAATGGGGAATGTTTGGATTTGCAGATGTGATTAAATTAAGAATCTTGAGTTGGGGGCTGCCTAGGTGACTCAGTCGGTTAAGCGGCTGCCTTTGGCTCATGATCATGATCCCAGGGTCTTTGAATCTTGAGATGGGGAGATTTTCTTCTACCATGTGGGTGGCCCAGTGTAACCACCAGGGTCCTGATAGGGAAGAGAGTCTCACAGAGAGAGATGTGACCGTAGAAGCAGAGGTCAGAGTGATATGAATACTAGTTTCAAAGATGGAAGCAAAAGAATATGGCAGTCCCTAGAAGCTGAAAAAGTCAAGAAACAGATTTTGCCCTAGAACCTCCCGGAATATAGCCTTCCTAACCCTTTGATTTTAGAACTTCTGACCACTAGAACTATAATTAATATGTTTGTGTTTTTCAAAACCCTGAGTATGTTACAGCAGCCATAGGACACTAGTAGAATCTTAATCACAAGAAATCAGTCTGCATCTGCTACAGCATCATAAGCACTGTTATAACCACTATAATGCCCTGTAACTCAAGCAGACCCTGTAATAACTGTCCCTGTCTCTCAAATGTTTATGCATTCCTATTTTACTGACATGCCCATTGGGAAAGAATTAGAGATATATGCGTTCTCCTATGACATGTAAAATTAGGATGCCCACTATTGAAGCATTTTTTTTTTCTTAAACTGAGACCTCAAGCCACTTAAGAGTTTTTTTTTTTCTTTTTTTTTTTAAAGATTTTATTTATTTGTCAGAGAGAGAGAGGGAGAGAGAGCGAGCACAGGCAGACAGAATGGCAGGCAGAGGCAGAGGGAGAAGCAGGCTCCCTGACAAGCAAGGAGCCCGATGTGGGACTCGATCCCAGGACGCTGGGATCATGACCTGAGCCGAAGGCAGCTGCTTAACCAACTGAGCCACCCAGGCGTCCCCTATTGAAGCATTTTAAACAAAATATAATATGTTCTATTTCTTTGATGCCTCCCATTGGTGCAACTCAAAAATAATAAACCAGTCAAGTTGTAAAGCTGCTCTCATCCCTCCTCCCTATTGTTAGCCCAGCCACGATCATGACCCAGGACTCAATATTACTGCTAGCACTACTGTTACCAATTTCCAGGCCCCCGAAAAAAAGAGATAAACAGAATTCTGACAGAGAAACATGGCAGGAAGTTGAAGTGAGAAAGAAGGTGACCAGGAGAAAACAAAAATGAGGAAGATATAAGGGCTTTTTAAGTGGTTTTTGTTGTTGTTGTTGTTGTTGTTGTTGTTGTTATTGTTTTTAGAAAAGGCATCATCCACTCCTATTTCCCTCTAAAAGGCTCATCAATAGAGGTTATATAGGATGGAGGTGAATTAACACATACTCAAAATTTCAATGTCTTATGTGTATTTTTTTTAAATATTTATTTATTTTTTGAGAGAGAGCAGGCAGGTGCTCCTACCAGCAGGCAGGGAGTAGCAG